AAAAATATAAAATATTTAATAAAATACTTAAACTCAAAGCCTAAACCAAACATCAAACCAACTAAACATAACAAACGAAAACCCCAAACCAGGGTTGGGCATAGTGGTCTATGCCTTTGATCCCTGTTCTTGGAAGGCCCAGGCACCCTGATCTACACAGTGAGTTCTAGGCCAGCTGGGGCTACAGGGAGACACTATGTCAAAAACATGGTGCCTTATGCCTTTAATCCCAGCACTTGGGAGGCAGAGGCAGGCAGATCTCTGTGAGTTCAAGGCCAGCCTGGTCTGCATAGTGAGTTCCAGGACAGCTGGGGCTACAGGGAGACCCTGTCTCAAAAAGACCACCCCCCCCAAAAAAACAAAAATAAACCCAAACAAACAAACAAATGAAAAACCCACTATCTGGCAGTTTCAGAGACAACTTCATGGAGAGTGATTTTTTGAGTCACATATCACAGACTGCAGGAGCCTGTCTGACTGAGAAATGTAGAATAGATTTCAGAGAGCAGAGAGCCTGAATAACAGGACGTGGAGTGTAGGATCAGTGAGGAACAGCAAGAGGTTCTTCCTCGCCCCCTCCCCGGTCTGGTGGCTACTGCAGGTTTGGTTTGTTGGATGTGTTCGTTCGTTTTTGTTTTTGTTTTTTTTTGTTTAGAAAAGCTGAGTTTTAATTTGTTAGAATATCTTTTATTTGTTCTTTGACAATTTCATACGTATATACAGTATATCTTGATCAAATCTCCCCCAACTCTCTGGTCTGTTTTGTTTTTGAGGCAAGGTCTCGTGGTCTTACCATGTTGCTCTGGCTACTTTAGAACTTGCTCCTGCCTTAGCCTCTGAGTGCTGGGGTATCAGGCGTGCACTACCATGCTCACCTAGCTCCTAGTGGTAGTTTCTGGACCTTAAAAATTTTTAGAGTAAGGTCTGGAGAGATAGCTCAGCAGTTAAGAGCACTAGCTGCTCTTACAGAGGACCCAGGTTTGGTTCCCAACACGTACATGATGGCAAACAACTGCCTGAAACTACAGTTCAAGGGGATCCGACACCTCTTCTGGCTCTGTGGGCATTGCACCCTCATGGTACACTTACACGCATGCAGGCAAACACTCATACACATAAAAATAAATAAAATATTTTTAAAAAATTCTTTAGACTATGGGGCTAGAGAGATGACTCAGCAGTTAAGAGCACTGGATGCTTTTGCAGAGGCCCTAGGTTTGGTTCCCAGCACCCACCTGGCAACTAACAACTGTAACTCCAGTTCCAGGGGAATCTGCTGCCCTCTTCTGACCTCCAAGGGCACCCCACAACACGGGTGTACTTACATGCAGACAATACACTCATACACATATAATAAAAATAAATTGTATTTTTAAGAATCTTTAGAATATTCTGGACTGGGAACCAGTGAGCTGGATCACTGGTTAAAGGCACTTGCCTTCAAGACTGTTGATCTGAGTTGAATCCCCCAGATTCACATAGTGGAAGAGAAGTGGCTTCTGAAGTTGTTCCGTGACCTCCACATGCGTACCATAGCACAAGAGTACTCACTCACACACACACACACCACACACAGTCACTAAATAAATAAATGTAAAAAAACTTTAAGTGACAATTGGGAGGCTGGAGAGATGGCTGGCTGGAGGAATGGCTTAGCAGTTAAGTGCACTGGCTATTCTTACAGAGAACTTGGGTTTGGTTCCCAGCACCTACATGGTGGCTAACAGCTGTTCTTCACTCCAGTTCCAGGGGATTTGATGCCCTCTTCTGGCCTCTGCATGTTCTAGACACACAAATGGTGTGCTTACACACATGTAGGCAAAACACTCATACACATAAAAATAAATAAATCTTAAATATTTTTTATTTGATGTGTATGAGTCTTTGCCTGCATATATGTGACTACACCTGTGTGTGCAATGCTCATGAAGACCAGAAGAGGGACTCAGATCCCCTGGAACTAGAATTATGGACAATTGTTAGCTGCCACATGGGTGCTGGGAATTGAACCCAGATCCTCTGCATGAGCAGTCTTAAGCACTGAGCCATTTCTCCAGCCCATAAATATATTTTGTGAAGTGACAATTGGGCTGGGCATAGTAGTGCATGCTTCTAAAACCAGCACTGAGGCAGCGGAGGCAGCCATATTTCTGTGACAGCAAGGCCAACTTGGTCTACAGAGCAAGTTCTAGGCCAGCTGGAACTGCAAAGAGACCTTATCTCAAAAAAATTTTTTTTAATTAGGTGGCAAAGGAACTTGGAAAGATGGTACACTGCCAGCCCACAGACTATAGAGAATTCACACAATCAGATGGGGTGGCCAAGGTACAACAACCTCAAAGAAGTTTCAAAATAATGTAAAAATTTTAAAGTTTTGTACATGTGCTATTCAAGAGTTCTCCAGCATTGACTGATGCGCAGCAGTGAGAGAGCAGCTTCAGACCCAGGAAAGGCTATGGAGGTGACGACGTGGCTAAATCAGCGACACAAATATAGTTTCTTTTCTCTCTCTCTCTTTTTTAAAAAAATTATTTATTTATTTATTATTTTTTGGAGGGGGTCTTTTTCAGACGGGGTCTCCCTGTAGCCCCAGCTAGCCTGGAACT